AATTCTTTTGCATCTAAAAATTAACTCAGAATTGATGACATAAGACTGCGAATATACGAATGAATTTTTGTTGAATTTTCTGTGCTATCTAGGATGTTAATAACGTATTATACTTTCTAAAATATTTTTATTCAAATCCAAAAATATTTCAAAAATATTTTCATTCAAACAAAACTTTGGCACTGTTAAATTATTGTGTCGCATTATATATTTTTCCTTTGAATTGGCAGAAGTGTACATTTAATTTTGAAAAGTGCGCCAGTTACCAGGAGCCAATATGGCGATGCGTATTCCCACATAATATAGTACCCTAGGCATTACGCCACCACGTCGCGCGCATCGCCAGGAGCGAGGCTCGGCGCGCTGGGCTCGAGGCGCCGCGCCGACGGCCGCCGCTGCTCCCACCACCGGCGGCGCAATGGTGGGGATGCCACAGTAGGCCACCGGCACAGTGGCGCGCGGCGCGAGCCAACGTAGCGTTGTGTTGTGACTTGGGGGAGGCGTTACGGTGAGGGGAAGGTACTTCGTGTACGCGCCGCGAAACTTTCGACTCTATCAACGAAGCACCGGAGCCAGCATGCAGCGCGTGTATGTACATACAGGCGAAGTCTATCCGAGATTAAACGCACACACCGTATTCTCGACGAGCTGTAAGTATATACAACGATAGATAGACGCAATGATATCATAGGAACAGTCCCGCGCGTAGGAGTGCGTTCCACGCGTATCGAACACACATTTATACAATATACAAATTACATAAATGTGTAATTAGTATATTGTTAAATTTTTTTAAAGCAAAGGAATATTTTTAAGAATGTAATCTGTCACTTCGAAGACTCGAGAACATGTATATAATGTTTTTAAAGCAAATAAATATTTCTAAAAATCCAATCTCTCACTTTGAAGACTCGAGGACATGCATATAATTTTTAAAAGCAAATAAATATTTCAAAAAATACAATTTGTCACTTAGAAGACTCGATAATATGTATATAAGTTTATTAAAGCAAATGAATATTTCTAAATATGTAATCTTTCACTTCGAAGATTCGGGGACACGCATATAATTTTATTAGAGCAAATAAGTATTTCTAAAAATGCAATCTCTCATTTCGAAGATTCTTATATACATGTATAAGAATCATCCTACATTTGATTATTTTTTAATATAACTTACATATTTGAATTTACATATTTAAAATTTATTGAGAAATTTATTTGTCGTATATGCTAAAGGGATACAAATTTTTTTTCACCTCGTATATAATTTTGGTATTTTATTCGTTATTATTTTATCTCAAATCTATTTAATACATAAATACTTTTATGAAATGTTACTAGGTAACACAAATAAATAAATTAATATTTAGTTAGTCGTATTAGCAGTAGCAGTGTACGTAGAAACCAGTACATACGAAAGCATATCTTCATATTCTAATAAAGTACTATAAAACATATCAGGCAATATTAAGAGTAGATATACTATGGGGATTCTACATCAAATATAGGTCAAGGTCAAGGGTGGGGGGAATGTAGATCAAGAAGGATGGGGAGAATGTAGATCAAGGAGGAAGGGTAGGGGGAATGTAGGTCAAGGGGGATTAATTAATTAATTAAACAATAATCGATTGAATCATCAATTAATTGATAACAATTAATTTTTTTATCAATTATATTTTTCGTGGACCGCTACCGCCACGTGCGCGGTGACACCATTTTGAACGCGGTGCTGCCACCGTCGCCACCGCCGTCACGTGTGCGGATGCCGACATTTTGAACGCGCCGCTACCACGTGGACTGTGACGTCATTTTGGTGACATGTTCCGACATGTTCTCGAAGGTTCACGTTTACGTTATTATTATCATGCAAGTACAATTATC